TGCACACAAAGTCTCAATGAAACAACATCAATACATTTTGGGGTTGTGTAGAGCAATGAAACCTCCCATTTATTGGGATTACTTCCATTTCTTTAGGAAGTTCCTAGGCCTTTGTTCCATGCCTTTCTACATATTACTCTCTTTCTGGTAAACCTCACTCAAGAATTCAATTAATTTTTCCTGCAAGCTGCTGGTCTTTTCATTCTCCTTTGTTCTATGTTGAGCTCAGGGGCTGTTTCCTATTCATTTTTGTGTCCTTGCAGCCCATCCAGGGCCTGAGCATATCCTATCTGCTTTATCAGTGCTTACAATATGGAATGAGTTGAACACAGCAACCCTCTTCTCTTTATTTCACCATCCAGGTGGCTTCTCCTCAAAATGCCAAGGGGGATCTCTTCCTCATTCTGAATCAAATGAGATCTGGGGCTCTGGACGGCCCCTTGCTTGAGAGAAGCCAAATGCTCAAATCCCTTACCTCAGCATCAGACCAGTTTCTCAGCTTCCGGAAGTATCCATAGCAATTGGACCTGTAGTAAAACCATCCGGTAGCACAGCTGGGTCTCATGATGATATCTGTTCATTAACAAAAGCAAGAAAAATCAAAAGTCATGACAGCAAAAACAATCAAGCCCAGACTTGATGCAGCTTATAGAATGAGAACCCTTTGAAAGAGAAGATAGAAGAGCCCTTTCTTCAGAAGGACGCTGCTGCATTGCTAAAAATGTACACTGTTGATCTTTCCCTCAGCCTTCCCCAAAGGGACTGGTGGCCTTTTACCAGAAGAGCTGTGCAGTGGAGAAAAGGAAATAGTCAGAGCTTTCTGGGACTGCTGGACCCTGACTCTGAACTGACACTAATTCTAGGAGACCCAAAATGATCCTGTGATAGAGTGGGGCTTATAGAGGTCAGGTGAACAATGGAATTTTGGCTCAGGTCTGTCTCACAGTGGGTCCGCTAACCAACTGTGGTCATTTCCTCAGATCTAAAATGCATAACTGGGTAAACATACTCAGCATCTGGCAGAAAACCACCTTGGTATCTGAGACCAAACAACCATGATTCAGGCCACACAGGACTGGAGGAGGGGTATAAAGTGGTGGGTTTAGGTATCAGTGAGAGGAAAGAATCCTTTAGGTGGAGATACATGGAACAGGTTCAAAGGCAACTTGGCTGGAAGCAGGGCACAGGTGGGCTGTGCTTCTGTTGCAAGGGGAGGGGACATGTTAAGAAAAGGGGATGGGTTGGGCAGAAGAGGCCTTGAGGCAAAGAAAGCCATGATTCAGGGCAACTCACACTCTTTCTGTTCACCAACTGGTGAATGGGCCACATCACTTGACTTGGAAGTTTATGAAGGGGATGTGGATGGTAGTACAGAGGGGGCTAGGTGACAAAGGGAATGTCAAGCTAGCAGTCTGGGCTTTGTGACAATGTGGCCACACTCTGACACCCTGGATGGGTACAAGGGTCTTTCCTCCCACAGTGGCTGTCCACGGACTAGTTACCATAGTAACATTCTTCTCTTCCCAATCAGTTGACACTGTTGTCATTGGTTTGCCCTGCCCTTCTGATCTGTTTCATCTCCAGGTGCTCCCCACTGCTTTCACATAAGCTCTTGTTCATTAGCATTTAAGGACTTTCTCAATCTAGTATCCAGCCACATCTTCCTGTACTGTAAGTCCCAGCTGTGGCTTGGAACAAGATGCTCATGATAGATTTAGATCCTTCCCATGTGCTGTTGTGTCTATGAATGATGGGTAATGATCACCCAGCTAAGAAGGAAAAGTGCTGAAGGGTACCAGAAATGCACTGAGACCAAGCAGCAAAGATATTCATTTATTTAAATGCCTTGTGTTCAACTACCTCTAGAAAATTGGACAAAACTTTATGTTACGTGAAAAAGAAAAACTTTATACCACTGCTGCTCCTAATGCTGTCACCACTATCACCAAGTTCTACATAGGAATCATTTACTTGGTGCCAGGTACTAGGCAAAGGGGCTTATCCATATTATGTTTTTACCAGAATAATTTAGGGAGATGAGGAAACAGGTGGAGGTGGTCACCTGCTCAAGGTCACACAGTAACATGGAAAAGCTGCTTTTCAGATTCAGTTCTAAGACTTAAAATTCCATGTTCCCGCCACTGACTCTCGCAACCTTCAATAAATACGAAATAATTGGAAATTAGGAATTTGGCAACAGAAATGATCAGCAGGTTGGGATGCCTCGCTTACGACATCAGGAGGAAAGAAAGCAAAGAAGATCCTTGACCCTTGAAGTTAAAGCTGATCTTCTTAAGAGGGAGGCTGGCCATTGATCATCATCCGTAAAGACAGAGCTGATGAACTGGGCTCCGATGTCTGAAAGGGGCAGCCTGAAGACACATTCAGACGCAAAGCTTCTGTCTCAATATTGGTGGGGATATCCTGAAAGAAGGGTCAAGAAGAGCCCAAGTCTTCTGCCCTAAGTCTGAGGACAAAGAGCCCTGACCTCACACCCAACATTCTTGGTGCAGTTGGATCGGAATTCCTCATTAATCCTGAAATGCCAGAATCCTTGGGGTTCTGTGGGCAAATGGGTCAGGACAGATCCTCCACCGCGGTGGCCTTTTCCTTCTCCTGACGCTGGGTAGTGACAGCAGAGATCCCAGGGGCGCAGGCAGAGGATCCAGAGTGGGTGGGTGGGGCATCGGGAAAAGGAGACCCAATGTTACCTTTCAGGCCAGACAATCAGTAATCTCTTCTCCCCTCATTCCTTCCTCTGTGTCTGTTTCTTTGAGGGTTGCTCTCCATCTCTGACCATCTCGGTTATTTTCCCCATTCTGTCTCTGTGCACCTCCAGGTCTTCCTAAGTGTTGGTTTCTCTTTCTCTGTCTCCATGTCTCTCTGTCTCTCTCTTTCTCTTTGGTCTCTGTGCTCTGGGTGACACTCTTTTTTTTTTTTAAGCAAGATTCTTCATTCTTACTCTTTAAAGATGACTTAGCTACTTTCTCTCCTAATGGCAAGGGCTTGTATGTCTCTCTTTATCTGCAATTCTGTATTCGCCTTCTGTTCTTTCTCCATCTACCCCTCCTCTCCCCCAGGCCCCGCAGGAGTGCAGCTCTGGCCATGTGCCCCCTGGTGGAGACATTTCAGCTCCTAGAAAATGCAACCAACTGCTGCTCTGCTGAGGCACTGCTGTGCCTCCTACTGCTCCACACATTCATGGAGCATTTGCTGTGTACCAGGTACTGTTCCAGACGATATACACATATTCCAATCATCCACACAATAACCCTATGAGTTAGATACTCATCCCCATGATCCAGATGAGAAAATGAAATGGTCATGTCCTAGGATCACATAGCAAAGACAGAGACAAGATTTCACCCCAGAGAGTCTGACTCCAGGGAGAAGCTCCTGTCATCTTAGTTACTATTCTGAAGCTATTTGTTTTAAAACCAACTACATTTTTTCAGAATGCCCTAAGTACCAGACCCTTCCTGAGACATAGGGATGGGTATCTCATTGTACAGATGAAGAGACCTCCTCAGAAAGACCCTCTGAAGTCACCAGATGGGGAGTGTAGTGGACCCTCAGGAAGGGATCAATGTTTTTCCAGCAGCCCTAGACCCCAGATCCCACCTCTCATGATGCTAGAGCTCCTCATTATATGCATGCAGTGACAAGAAGTCTCAGCTGTTGACATCTATCTGGTCTGTACTTTCTCCACCAGAGACCAACTTCTTTACCAGGAGTGTTATGCTGAGGCACTGCTTCTCTTGCCAGAGGAGCAATGTTAGGAACATTGTTTAACCTCCTCTGGTCTTGTTTTCTTGTCTGCAGAGTGGGGTTAACAATATATATCTTCTTCAGAGAGTTCCTGGGAGGATTAATTAGTTTAACGAATATACGGTGATTATACAGATTAACGAATATACAGAATCTAGTATATTGTAATTGTTCAATAAATACTAGCTGATAGAATCACTGCTATTAAAATCATCATTATTACTGTAGTCAGTGTGATATTGTTGAAAATATTAACCAGATGAAGCCTTTTTTTGTTGTCTCTGAATCATGATGCTCTATGGCTCTCTAACCATTGAATTGGTCCTGTGCATTGCTCCAAGGTGAAGGACAGACACAGTCCAGAACAAAGAAATCACTGCAGAAACAATAAGAGTTACAATCATGACCATAGGTCCTGCTGAGAGAGAAAATTCATTTCTAAGTTCTCCATACTTCCTTTAAGTGCAAGATCAGACTTTTCCCGTAAGCCATGGCACAGAGAACATACAGATTCTCTATATGACATATTTACATCATATGCTCCTAAAGAGGGAAACTAGAGAGGCTGGTGAAATCTGAAATACGGGTTTGCTTATTATTCCCCAGGAGATAGCAGACACAAATGCCAAGCCCCAGCCTGAGGTCAACCCAGCACCAGAGCAGCAAGAAACTACCTGTCCATGTAGAAATGGCCACAAAGGTAACCGTGCAGGGGCGTTCAGGGCAGTCCTGCATACTCTTGCCCAGTTCAGAAAAGTGGCTGATGTCCATCAATGGATGAATGGACAAAGAAAATGTATACACAATGGGGTTTTATTCAACCATAAAGAAGAATAGAATTATGCCATTTGCAAGAAAAGGAATGGAAGTTGAAAAC